AGGATGATTTCCAAGCAAATTCCAATCATAAACTAGAAAAGAAAGACATTAAATTTGTAATGCAGGTTCCTTTTAATGTGATTTCCCTGGATTGCATATATTAAAGAAATTAATACAGAAATCTGTATCATTGGCAAACACAAGGATGGGCTCAGTATTATGTGACAAACATTTAGAGAACAGGGAGGGACTAAAGGACAGATTCTCATTCTTTCTCGTGTTCAAATTATATTGAATATGCACAGTACTTGTATGCTTTGGCAATTCTTATTGGCAAAAAGAGATAAAGCACATCCTATTTGTGGATTCAATAAAATATGCCAATCATGCATCACGTATGCATCTCAAAATGTTTCTAAAAAGCATAGTTGTGGCCTATAAAAATGACTTCGATTCCTTTTCCCCTTTTCTGCTTCCCAGTTTTTGAGAGGCCAGATGAAATTTAACATTTCTAGTCTGGACTGTCTCAAACTTTCTGGTCATTCATTTATAAATAACAAGTAACAATCTCCACTTGCCTATGGAAAGAAAAGAATTTCTATCACGACTGGAATAATTAAGCAAGTAGAAGAGACTATAAAAAAAGACATCATCTTATGTGTCAACCTTAAGTAATACTGAGAAACAACATAGTCCCATCCCATCGCACACTTCTCTTCAACCAAAGCCGACAGATAATCGGGCCAGAAAAACTATCTTGTAAAAAGGGCATGTGTGCAACAAAGATACTGAACCTGGGGAAATTACTGACACAGAGCCAAGTATTTGCAAGTTATCCCTGATTCCAAAGCACTGAAAATACACAAAGAACTAAAATTAAAGAATCAAGTCTAAACATAAAGGCCACGTGAGGTTAGATGGGAAGCAGAAAAGAAAGGGAAAAGGGAATCTTCCTATTCTCCAGGAGTGGGCTATCCTCTTCATGAAGTCAGTGGGGTATCTTCTTCAGGAAGGGGGCAACCATGAGCCTAGGAAGAGCCTGACAAAAAGTGCCCTTAGAAAGTGGAACACCCCTCTGGGATTGGCCCCAGCAGGCCAGCAGAACTTGCCTGTGTGGCTACAGTGTTCTCTGTCAGGTTGGACGCAGGCAGCAGGGGCAGAGAAGGAGCCTGCTGGAGCGAACAACAGCACGTCACCTTTTCCCCATTTTCCAACTTACTAACATGAAAAGAAACACTGCCATTCTCTGAAACACTTCACTCTGGTCTGATGGCCAGCCATGCTGAGGGTACATTCTACCTGGACCTGAGACCTAACTCACTCTCTTTTTCTTCTCTCTGTGTGCCTTAGTTTATTTCCCTGTTTCTATGATAAAATACTCTGACAAAAGCAACTTTAGAGGGAAAGTGCTTTCAGTTCATAGTCCAAGAGTACAGTTCATCATTGACTGGGAAGTCACAATGACAGGAGCTTGAGGCAGCTGGTCACACCACAACCACAGTAAAGAGAGAGCAGTGGATGAATGTGTGCTTGCTCAACTCACTTTCTCCATCTTATACTGTTCCAAATCTCTCTGCTCAGGGAACAGTCCCAGTCACAGGAGATAGGTCTTCCTATTTCAATTAAACCAAAATCAAGATAATCCTCCACAGGCATGCCCAGAGGCCCATATCCCAGGTGACTCTAGATTCTTTCAAGTTGATAGTTAACATTAACCATCACACCATCCTATAAGTATGTGCGTACCAAGATTTATAATCCCTTTCTACACACCCCGCCTGCTCAGCCTCTCTCTTAAACAGAAGAATTCTGTATCTATTCTTAAAACTTAAGGGAAAGACTTGGTCTCACCTCTCTTTCTACTTGTCTTCCCCTATCCAGGCTCTACTCCTACCCAGCCCCACACTGTAGCCCTGCTTTAGTAAGCACTCCTTAGGTACCATCACTGCTTGCCTAAATGCCTACCACCTAGGATCATGGCAGAAATGTGGCAGGACCTCTGTAATTAGGGAAATTATCTATCAAATTCTCCCAAATGAAAGCCGGTCTTGGTGTCACATGCCTTTAATCCCAGAATGTACTTGGGAGGCAGGCAGATCTCTGTGAGATCAAGGCCATCCTGGTCTACATAGCGAGTTCTGGGCCAGCTGGGGCAACAGGGAGACCCTGTCCCCAAAACTCCCCCAAACGAATATTGTGTCAACATCATACATTTCCTTCCCCACACAGGATGAGAGAAGCAACCTACCACAGCACACAGTGAAAACTATCACCCTAACTTTAAGTCCACTCTCAAAGGGCTTGGACATTTCAGTAAAGCTGCCTGTAACTCTGCAGTCTGATTTTAAGCTGCACTTTGATGAAAAAATTTCAAGAAAGTCCCTTCTTGAGGCTGGAGAGATGACTCAGTGGTTAAGAGCACTGGCTGTTCTTGCAAAGGACCCTGGTTCAAATCCCAGTACCTACCCACATAGTGGCTAACAACCCTCTTTAGCTCCAGTTCCAGGGAATCCGACGACCTCTTCTGACTTCCATGGGCATTGCATAACACAGGTGCATGTACATAGATGCAGGCAATATTCTCATACACATAAAATAAAAATAATATTTTAATAAAAGCTAGGCCCCTCTTTTCCTCTCTTCCAAGCCCAATCAGTTTTCAGATCCTGTTTTTTTGTTTGTTTGTTTGTTTGTATGTTTTTTCCAGTGCTGGACAGTTGGTGACAAGTAGATCCCTGGGGCTCAATGACCAGTCAGCCAGCTAGTCTAGCCAAATTCATGAGTTCCAGGTTCAGTGAGAGACTGTGTCTCAGAAACTGAAATTGGAGAGTAGCAAGATAGCTCAGTGCTTGCTGATAGTTTGATGACCTGAGTTTGATCCTTAGGACCCCTGTGGTAGGAGAACCAACTCCTGAAAATTGTATTCTGACCTCCAAACCACACACACACACACACACACACACACACACACACACACACACAAGGTTGGGAGTGATTGAGGAAGACAGCTGATATCAACCTCTGGCCTCTACATACATACTTGCGGCATACATGTGCAGAGGCACCTGCACACACTTACTCAACTTGTGCACACACACTAACACATATCACTCACACATGCATTTCCTCCTGCCTCCATTAATGTTGCCTACTATTTAAAATATGTCAACTTTTCTAGGGTATTCGTCCATTCCCTAAAGTATAAGCACATCACAAACCTACCAGGGGCAAGAACAGTGCAAAGGAAGAAAAGAGATTAGATGGAAGCATGGCCACCTGTCATTTCCTGTCTCTGATAACTCCCTCCTCACCTCCATGATCTGAGTGTTATATTTTATTGCTCTTTCCCTTAGAACAAGGCGGGTTTCGTCAAATGAAACTGATTAATGTTGTTGGTTCAAAAGTAGCATAAGTCCATATGAAAACATGGATAATTCTAGGGTGCTATGCTTTTCTTTTTTTTTCTCTCTCTCTTTTTTTTTTTGTCTCAAAATGTATAGTCATGAGAAATCACCTCTTAGTTGCTTGGACATTACAATCTAATTTGCATAAGTCCTACTCAAACTAGAAATCTAAAAAGAAAGAAAATCATAAAAATAAAGTCTATTTTCTAATTATCACTTCCAAGTGAGATGCCTTCTGCCACCAGAGATCCAAAATGTGGAATTCATGGGAATGAACACATGTTGAGCTCTGAACTCCAATTACCAGATTCTTTTTTAAAAAATAAAAATTTATTACATGCATGTGCACACTTATGTGCATTTGCTGTGGCCCACATTCAGAGATCAGAGGACAACTTTTCGGAGTCCAGGTCTCTCCTTCCACCATATGAGTCCCAAGGATTGATCTGAGGTTGAAAGTCTTGGCAGCAAGCATCTTTATCCATGGAGCCATCTCACTGTCCCTGCCAGATTCTCTTTTTTTTTTATTGAATTTTTGTAATTTTCATACAATATAACTTGATGGCATTTAAATCTGCTCCCCTCTCTGCATCTCCCCTCTAAGCCCCCCCGCCCAAGTTAATGTGAGCCCATATATATATATATATGGGCCTAAAGAGTCTGATCTGTGTCCCCAAGAATCCTTCAAGTTGGGTCCATGCACTGCACCCATCAAGAGTCTCATCCCTGTAAGATACTGTCTTTCCCCCTCTCAGCAGCCATCAGTTGCCAAAAGTTCCTTTAGCTGGGTTGAGATTTCTTACCCACTTCCCTACGTCTATGCTGGGATTTTTTCTGATTTCAGCTTGCATAGGACAGAATTTTCTTTTGGTAAATGAAATGTGTATAATGAAATGTGTATAATGAAAAACAGTGTTAAAAACAAACAGCCTGGGGGCTGGAGAGGTGGCTCAGTGGTTAAGAACACTGGTTGTTCTTGCAGAAGACCCGGGTTCGAATTCCAGCACCCACATGGCAGTTAACAACTGTCCATAACTTCAGTTCCAGGGGATCTGACGCCCTCTTCTGACCTCCATGGCACTGCACAACACGGGTACACTTACACAAACAAACAAAAAAACCAGCCAGACTGGGCCTGGTGGTGCACACCTTTAATCTTAGCACTAGGGAGGCAAAGGCAGGCAAATCACTGTGAGTTCAAGGCCATCCTGGTCTACATAGTGAGTTCCAAGGCAGCTGGGACTACAGGGAGATCCTGTCTCAAATAGAGAAAAAGTAAAGAAAAGAAAACAAAACAAAAACAAAAAAACCCAACTAATTCCCTTCTCACTACTACTGCCCCACCTCTTTCAATTAAAATTAAAATTTGAAGTTGTTAACCTTTTATCGCATATCACCGTCCCACCTACCTAGTGAACCATAATAGCTCCCAGACTGGTGTCCTTTCCACCTATTCTCTCCCTCAGCTCATCCTGAGATTCTAGGAGGTAACTGAGGCCCCAAAAGGAAAGTCATCTCAAGAAACGTCTTACATCAACAGTTATTTAGCATGGGTCAAGCAAAATCTCTGCTAACATTATGTTACAAAAATCTTAAAGTCTGTGAGGATGTAAAACTCCAAAGATACTGGGACTTTAAAAGTTTAGAAGTGCATACCTGTTTCTTCCTTGAATTTGCTCTGGGAAAGAGGCCCGTTGACAGCACAGATGTAAGTGGAGAACAGCAGAGCTCAGGAAAAGGGTTTGGAATAGATGGTACTTCCAGAACATCCGGATCTTTCTTGTTTCTCCTACACCAAGAGAACATAGGGTGTCATTTACATAAAACAGAATGTAAAATATAATTGCTGTCAGAATTTAAAAGTGTTGCTAAGGCTCACATGCAGCACTGTGGCAATGGTAATATTATATAAAGAGTGCAGGGAACGTCTATGCTGTACCTTATGTGGATCAAACTAAAATGTGCTAATTAATACCAGTAATTCTATAGCCTCTTCCTCTCTCCCTCTCTGTCTCTCTCCGTGTCTTTAAAAAAAAAAAATCACTAAGCATGGAAAGTCCATTTTCTGCACTTGTGATCATTTTCTTGACCAGCAACATGGGTTTCGTCATTATTACTGCAAAAATTAACCCTAAGGGTCAGCCATTGTTAGGCATCTATTAAACTGACAAATTCTGTAAGTTACATTTAGTGAATTCATCCCTAGGAAATGCTACTAATCACTTCTGGAAGTTATGATTTATTAAATATAGCTGTGGTTCATCTCACTTCAAATTTCATTCACAATGTTGCCCACACACAGTCTGTTTGATTTCTCAAGGCTTATAGATGCTGAATAGCAAGGCAGTATTTTTGAGAAGGTAAGTCAACAGAACTTAGGATAAATGTACTCTAGTCCGCTGGAACATAATTTTAAGTTGACTGAAGTCAGAGCACTTTGAAAATCTGATGAAGAAGAAGAGTGGTATTTGAACGTGTGGATATAAAAGAGCCACGGATTTTTATACCATTGTAGCCTTTTTCTTTCCTAAAGTATGAGAACTCCGAAGGTGCTTAGTGCTGTCTGCCATGGAGATGGGAAACCTTTGAAAGCCTCTGCTCTTGCCTGCTGAACCGTAAAGACTGCTCAAATGTCAATCCATACTCTGCTTCTCCAGGGTCGTTGGAAGACTCTATATGGGAGGTGAACTCATTTACGCTTCGATTTTTGAAAGCCTATAGAATGAAAGGGTTGTTTGTTTTGAATAATGCAGGGCTACTGAGCAGCAGCCAAGGGTGGTCAGTCTAGAGTGTGGCCTCCTGGTTCACGCGATGGGCCCGGGGTGAGACAGACAGCTCTCTCAAAGAAACGTTGATGCTATTTATAATAGGGCGCGGGGACATCGTGATGCCCTGCTGACCCCGCAGGAGCCGGTTCAAAGGGAATTGTCTTCAGACACTTTCACAAACTTGGCCGGGCTCTGGGCACATGCTCACCCCTCGGACCGCCTCCTCACCCCCTGGCCGGCTGCGGACCCGGGACACCGCGACCCGAGGCTGCCTACCTGTCTGCGGCACGGCGGCGGGTGGCGTCTGGAGCGGGTGGCAGCGCGCGCGGGTGCAGCGGGGGACCCGGCGGCGGGTCCTGGGCGTCGCCCCTCCCCTGGGCAGCGCCGCACACCTGGGCGGCCATAGGCCAGTCCTGGGTGGCCGCCGGGCCGGCGGCGCTCTGCCCATCCTGCAGGGAAGTGGTCATGGTCGCCAGCCGGGACTCTGGGGGGTCATCGGCGACCCTGCGCGACGGGGAGGGCGCGGGGCGAGCGGCGCAGTAGCGAATGTCCTGCAGGTGCGGTGGCCCCAGCCGCCTGCGCTCGCCGCCGGGAGGTTGGGACGCGGCGGGGCGGGGAGCGGGGGAGGGGCGGGGGCGGAGGAGGAGGGTGGGGACCGGCGGAGGGTGGGAATGGGGCGGAGGGAGGGGACGGGGAGGAGCGGCTGCGGGGGGCGGGGAGGGCGCGTAGCGAGCGGCCTCGCGCGTGGCCAGGACGCTCCAGGACGCTGGTGACTCTCTCCCGCCACGGCCTCCAGCCCCCGAGGCTCCAATCGTCGCCTTCCCGGTTACCCGACCCAGCACCAGCCAGAGTCCCAGTCCGCGAGGGCCTAGCACCACAGGAGACCAAGAGCCAGTAGAGCTGGTGATTGCGCTGGGCTCGGCCGCCAACCACCAGCCGGCAGGAATCTGGGCAACACTGACCCTTAGACCCTAACATTCCTGCAGTGCCATCGGAGATCACCTAAGCTGTTGGTGGAGCGCTATGACTGGCCCCGAGGCCAGGGTCATGGAACTAGGTTCACCACCCAGTCTCTCCCACCACCACCCTCTTGGCAGCCAGAGATAGAATGGGCTGAGGAGAGCGTAAAGAAGGGGGGGGGGGGAGCACTGTCATAAAAAACTCCTTTTGAAACGGTGGGAATTCTTAGTGAAGCATGAGTGAACTTGAAGGTATCTGGAATTACTAGAACGAATAATTTTCTTTTAATGAGAGCAGTTTCTTCACTCTACCTTGTTCACCCAACAGCTCCATAAATTTAGGCTTTTGCTTCACTTTATTATTAGGAAATTGAGGCCCCAAACCGGCCAGTACCTTGCACCACACAGCACTAGTAACTGATGCAGTCAGTGTTGCATCCCGGTATTCCATCTCAGAAACCCAGACCGTGGAATGGTAACCACATTGTGCTCATCTGTGATGCAGCAACCAGGCTGGGAAACCCAAGTCTGTTTCTGCTCTACGTGTAAGTGTCCCATAATGATGGGCACTGTTAAGGATTTCCAAATACTTCTCACACTCTGTTCTTTGACCAAATTAGGTAACAACTGTTCCTGGCACCTGTTTCATCAAGTTTTCTTAACCTCAATAACCCCTGCCCATGGAAAGATAAACATTGCTTCCTGAGGAAGCCAGCATTCCCTGTTCCCTGCATGAGCATCCTCCCGGATCAAGACACCACCCCATAACTCTGATAACAGCGGGGTCATTAGCTTCCAGTTATAAAGCCTGGAGACTCCATGAACCAAGACGTTTAACTCGAAAAATTGAAGGAGGGGGCAGGAGAAATGGCTCATCCTAAGAGCACTCGCTGCTCTTCCACAGCACCAGGATTCAGTTCCCAGCACCCACACGGCTAACAACCATCCATAATTCCAGTTTCAAAGGATTTGACGCCCTCTTCTGGCCTCTCCCAGCATTACATACTCTGGGTACATTAACGTACATGCAGGCAAAAACACTCAAACACATAAAGACAATAAATAAATAAAAATACAAAATTTAAGAAATAGAACTTCATTTTCCTAGTGTCAAAAGTGAGGCTCACAAAAGGGCAGTAGTGTCCTTGTTCATGTGGAGACTCTGGTCTCCAGAGTGCTTCAACAAAACAGTGGCCAAGCAAGGGTACAAAAGTCACTTTCCTGAAGGATAAAGTTAATAGTCTAATGGTGATAGCTAAAATTTATCAACGGTGTGTGCCAGACCAACTCCTTGTTCACATCTATGCCTCTCAATTATGGTCTGGTCTCTATATGTGAATTTAAAAAGCGTTTAATGTCAAAGCCCTGAGATATATTCAAGCCATTCCAGCAAAATAAGAATGAGGTGCATGTTTTCAGATATCTTGAGCTAAATAACCAAGGAAAAAACAAGCTTTGTCATTACCATTTTCTTAATTTCACCCAAAGCTCTCTCAGGGGCTTTTCTTTTCTAAGAATAATAGGGTTTGAGCATTCTAACAGCAGAGTTAATCAGTGACTGCAGTTTCTCTCTTTCCAGCTCCCAACTCTCTCTCTCTCTCTCTCTCTCTCTCTCTCTCTCTCTGTGTGTGTGTGTGTGTGTGTGTGTGTGTGTGTGTTTGTGTGTCTGTGTGTATGAGAGAGAGAGACAGAGCGAGAACTCCTATTATTTTTCTGTTGGAGGAAAGAGTAAGTGGGAATAACATAAATTTACAGTCTCTGGGAATACCACCCTTCAAGAGCATATTCAGCTCCACTCCCCAGCATGCTTTTTTTACCTCAAGGATGAGAATTCTCTGATTCGGATGAGATGTCAATGTGTCTTCCCTCTCTAAGCATTCCTCTATTTAGTGAAAATCCAGAAATGATCCATGTTCAGACTTTGCAGTCTTCATGTAATTCCCATGGGTAGAAATTATAAGTCCTGTATTAGGTTACAAGCAGCAAAAAAGAAAAGAATAAATCTCTAAGGATAAGATTCTAAGTATTTTGTCTTGTGAATTGGCATTCGGTATGGAATTTATTTGCACTGGTATTTTAAGGATCTATACAAAGAATTGTTAGAGTTAACAGTTTTTGAACAACAAATAAACTATTTTCATTTCTAAGAGGTTCATGAGAAACAACTCTGAATAAAGGACTATTTTTAAATATTTTTAAATATTTAAAGGGGCAGAATATATCAAGATTACAGAGGGATTGTCCTACAGAACGGAAGCTAATGAGGGGTTATCACAGATTATTTTCTCTATAACCAACAGAGACTTCTGGAACAGCACAGCAGATATGTTGGTACTAAAGAGCAATACCACTGCTCTGGTTGATTTTAGTCCCTTTGGACTTGAGCCTGTAAATGTGCAGAGGTCAGTTTGCCCTGTTGCTCCACTGGGGGCATTTTCTGTCCCTTTGCACCTTCATCTTGCATCCACTGAGGGACCCCATCCATCCTCCACCTTAAGGAAAATATGTCCCCCTACTTTTCTCTCTCCCTCTGTCCATCAAGTCAAATTTCTTTTTTTTAAACTTTTACAAAATCTTTATTGAGAATTTTATACATGCAAATAAGGTGTTTTGATCAAATCCAAGCCCACTCCTTCCCTTCCAACACCTCCCAAATCTCCCCATCATTTTTTTCTTTTTCTTTTTCTTCTTTCATTTATTTATTTTTATGGGGCTTTTGGGTACTCTAACATTCCCGCCTCTGAAGAGGTAGTGCTAAAATCTTTTAAGGATTAGATACAAGTTCCTAAACACTTTTGACATTTTTGGTCTTTGGAACAGAGTATGTTGTCAACAATCCCAAGGACATTTTGACTTTTAGCCAAGAAACTGGCTTCTTTTCTTTGGGGTCTTTTTAACCTAACTGCCTAGCCAATTCCTACTTCCTATTATCACGGCATCCTCTGAAGGGGTTACCCAAATTGTCTATAGGGAATAGGGACTCAGACCTCTCTGGCTTCTTCCATGCTGAACAGTGATGCAGGGTGAGGCAATTGGAGTACCCCTTCAGTGGATCTATCTAAAAGACTCCCAAAGTCTTTAAGGGGCAAAGAAAGTCCTTGAATCGTGAATAGGAGATGTGAAGAAGTAAAGGCAAGAGTAATTAGCATTACAAGTTCTAGACAGGGAACTAGAAAATAGAACAGGGCAATTTTCAAATGTTCGTATGAAAGTCCATTGGAATTTCTTGACAAGGGCTTCCAAAAGCATCCCTCTATTGGGTTCTTTCTCATTTTTCTTTTGTCTTCCAAGGCTGGACTCTAGAGTGATGGACTCCGGATTTACTTTCAGGTATTTTGATAGTTATTGGTTAGAATCAGTGTCAGTTCCCTCTCAAAGGCTTCTAAATAGGGGGAGAAAACAAATTTATCCATCATTTTAGAACAATAGCTGGTTGTCTCCCTTAGCTACAGGTGGGCACTACAGTATTGCAGACCAAGATTTGAAGTCTTACATCTGAGCAGCACTTTCTGGTTAGGAACAAAATCATCAATGAGAAATAATTATCTAGATAACTTTTTATATAGACTTAAGCCTAATGTCTGGAAAGTGTAATCCCTTGAACTCTTAAAGAAGTATATGGATGACTTTATTCTTTGGTTATACTTTCCTTTTGGGTGTTTAAGACCATACAGTTGGCCCAAATAAATCAATCTATTTTTACACTTAAGGTCATTTGAGGATCTATTTCTCAGGGGTCACACGGGCTTGGGAGGAGCTCTTGGCTCCTTTATTTTACCAGTTCCATCTATGTGAAGATAAGTCAAAGGTCCTGTTGGACCATGTCTGGCTTTACTTGGAAGCATGAATGAGATGATTCCTCTGAGTTGACCCTCCTCTTTGTAGACTGAACACTGGTTCAGGACCATCTCATGGGGTCTCCATGTGCTCCCTGAACAAGAGGACAGGTGACTCACCACATTTATGAACTGTCTCAGCTAAACTAACTGAAGGACCTAGGTCACACTGGCTCCATTTCTTAGCAGCCTCCATCTTGTCAGTCTTAAGTCTCTGTTCCTAGAAACTGTAAGTTTCCTTTGCCCCATACTGCAGGCTAAGATTAGGCAAGCCTGGACATGACTTGCTTATCTGAGTGTAACAAAAACCACCTGAAATTCCTGACCATAAAAGGGCATCCAGAGGCTGATAGGGGCACCCTACCATAAAAGGAAAAATCTGAGACATTCCAGGTGGCTGACTATGACTATAACCAATGAAATTTCCCCCCCCCCCCGTACAAGGTATTCGGAATTATCCAATCAATTCAAAGGTCGCCCAATTTGCGCTGGCTTTTTCAAGAGTTCCCAATAAAAACCCCTGCTCATTGTTGGTCAGGGCCAGATTCCATTCATTGGCCCCTGGAGTCTTTGTCTGACTGGTCATTCAAGAATTGGAATGCTTTTCAATAAAATCTTCTAAATTTTGAATTTTGGTGGGTGGTCTCCAATCATTTCCGAACCTTGGACCCAACATTTTACAGGACATTTTGAGGGATGTTCCATAGTCTCCTTGAACTTGGTCGACCTTAGAGGGCATGGGTCAAAAACTGACCTTTAAGTCCCTCTGACCACATTAGTACAGGTCTTAAAGTATGGCTGTTAAA